AAAAGGGGTGAGGTGGGGAAATCTGAGGTTCTAAATATTAATTTTGCAGATGAAATCTCTGAATTGCATTGAGCTCCCATAGACTTGCATAGATCGGTGTCCCGGTCTGCTATCGTATCAATTTATATCATATCAATTGATATTCATATATCCTATCAGGTGTGTTAGAAATCCTGGAAAGTAACTTAAAAGAGCAAATAAAAAAATAAAACATTTTGTGGAGTTAGAGATATTAGTATTTGTTTACTCATATACGAATATTATCCTGGGACTAGGTTTGGGAAGTCCGGGGGGGGTGGGGGATTTAATTTTTTACTTTGTTTACTGGATTATGATTGTTTTTTATGATGAAAAATAATAAAAAAAATTTGGAAAAAAATAAAATAAAAAAATAAAAAACCGGTCTTCGCTAGGCAACAATTTGTCCTTTTTTCTTCTTTGCTAACCTTTTCCCATTTTTTATTTTTTATTTTTTTTTTGATCCGACGGCAGGAGATCCAGCAGGTGAAAACTCTGGAAGATTTAGAGGCTTTCATGCTTAAACATGGAGAAAACATCATTGACACTTTAGGAGCAGAGGTGGATCGACTTGAAAAGGATCTGAAGGTGAGTAGCGGCCTGCCGAATGGCCGGCCAAATAAATATACGCGGGAATAAAAGGTGAGTTTGCTAGTCACGCTGGACCGGGAAAATCTCTGGGGGGGGGCTCCCACAGGAAAGCAAGGATATTTCAGGATAAGCATCCCCAAAGGTGCTTTTTTCCGGCTGGCAGCTGGACTTAATCTTGTTTTTTTTTCTTTGAAGACGTTTCGCTTCTCATCCCAGAAGCTTCTTCAGCTCTGACTGGATAGTGGGGAAGGGAAGGATTTATACTCCTTGCAGAGAGCTGGTCATTTGCATTCTCTTAGAGCAGGGCTTTTCAACCAGTGGTACGGGTACCACCTGTGGTACATGGGCACCTGGCAGGTGGTACGCGACCATCCTAGAAAAGTGGTAGCAGGGGAGGGGAATGGGCTGAACCGGTGGCAGCACCGCACAAGCCTGAGCGAGAGACGGCTGGAGCTGCAGGGCTGTCAGGGCTCAGCGGAAGCGCCAGGATCAGTGCCGCTTTCCAGCTGATCGGCGCTTCTTCGGGGCTGTCAGAGCTCAGCCGAAGCGCCAGGATCAGCGCCAGGATCCAGCTGGAGCTCGGCACTGATCCTGGTGCTTCTGCTGAGCCCAGAAGAAGCGCCGATCAGCTGGAATGTTGCAGCCTCTCCAGGGTCTTGTGACTTACATTCAGATGCTTGGCAATTGATTCATATTTATGACGGTCACAGTGTCCCAGGGTCATGTGAAGTGACCAAAACCTGCTGCAACCACCCAGCAGACGGGGGGAATAAAAACCAAACACCCCCCCCACCCCACCCCCGCTGCCAATCCTCAACAGAAATGCTCACAACAATGGAAACCTCGGACAGGAGGAAGAGCGCCGCCGGGTGGGCAGGCAGGTGTCTTGCTCGGCTGTGGCTTGGGGGGCACTTTTTTCAGTGCCATTGTAACTTTGAACAGTCACTAAGCGAACTGTTGTAAGTCGAGGACTACCTGTACTTTATCACCTTTTTCCTTTTTTTTTTTGGTCATCAAGTTTTTGACCCCTTGCTAGGCGACTGGTGGTACTCGGATGTCGCCATCTCCTAAAAGTGGTACAATGGGTGAAAAGGTTGAAAAGCCCTGTCTTAGAGGGTCATTGAAGCCACTTGGTGCTTTGCCTGTGTCCTGAAGGTCACCTGAATGGTGCAAATGGATGTGGAGATCCAGCCCCAGGCTCAGTTGCAAACTTCAGTGTTGATAATGTGCAGTCTTATTTTTTTCAGCCAAGTAAACATCATTAATTTCATTTCAGAAACTGAATCCTGAAGTACGGCATGTGGATCTGGAAATACTGTAATCTTCACGGAATCAGGTCTCTCTCTCTCTCTCTCTCTCTCTCTCTCTCTCTCTCTCTCTCTCTCTCTCTCTCTCTCTCTCTCTCTCTCTCTTCCTCTTTCTCTTTTTATTCCTCTCTCTCTCTCTCTTCCTCTCTCTTTCTCTTTTTATTCCTCTCTCTCTCTCTCTTTCTCTCTTCCTCTCTCTCTTCCTCTCTTTATTTCTCTCTCTCTCTCTCTCTCTCTCTTTTTATTTCTCTCTCTTTCTCTCTCTCTCTCTCTCTCTCTCTCTTTTTATTTCTCTCTCTTTCTCTCTCTCTCTCTCTCTCTCTCTCTTTTT